TGAAAAATAATTTTTAATATAAACAGAAAATATTAATGAACAAAAAATATTAAAATTATTGTCAAAAAAGCGTGGGGTGCTCAATGTATGAGAAATGTGGAACCAAACACCCCAGCGTGTATTTTAGTTTTTTTAAACTATATTTATTTGCGTTCCTTTCTCAAGTCTTTTGGAGGGGGGGACGCCACTGTCTATGTTAGTATGTGTGTAAAGCCTCATTTACACGGTGCAAGTAGCTTGAGCAAGTACTAACGCCAGTAACTAAATTATCTTTGTTTTCGTGCAAGTGGGTGTTTACATGCATTTTACTGATTTTAAGTCGAATTTAGTGATTAGTGCACATTGAGGTGAAATGGCAGCAAGTACAGTTGTTCGAAAAGAAATTTAAAAATGCATTTTGAGTGTTTTATGGAGAATTATCACACATTTTATTGAAAGAAATTGAAAATGGAAAACGTTGTTGGGTTCGACCATGAATATCTCGTAGAGAAACACATGGTGCATCTTCCACATTATTGGTTGAACTGGCTAAGGAAGATCCAAAAGAATATCGAAATTGTATGCGGATGACAAAAGAACAATTCAATAAGTTAACTTTTCGAAATAAAACCCATGATTAGCACACAAGATACTGTAATGAGACCTGCTATTCCAGTAAAAATTACATTGGAAATTACACTATCATATCTGGCAACAGGAAGCAGTTACAGACGACATTGCAAAGGCAACTAATAGGTGCAAGGTGCAACACAATACTCAAAATATTCAAATTCAAACCCCACTAATGTACTTCACTAATCACTAAATACAAATCCTGTCTACACACGTCCAGCCCGCTAAAGTCAGTAAAATAAACGAGAGGGGGAAGCCACTTGCTCAAGTAAATAGAACCAGCTTCTATTCACTTGACTAATTACTTGACTAAAGCGTTTACTTGCTCAAGTACTAAATTAAGGTGTCTACACGATTCAAGTTACTAAATTTTAGTTACTAGCGTTAGTACTTGCTCAAGCTACTTGCACCGTGTAAATGAGGCTTAATGCATGCAGTTCGATGAAGGTTTCACTTCTACCGGGTGTGAATTGCACAGGATTTTTTTTTTGTCTGGCATTTTCAGGATGAACATAAGCGCAACTAACTCGAAATACAAGGGGTGCTGACGAAATGAGACGCGTAAAAAAAAATTAGTTTTACGAGGGTTTTGTACTTACGTCATTTGCCTTTTTGAAAAATAGCTTTTTAAATGTCTGAAATTTCAACCAAACATATCGGGTCTTCAAAAAAAAAGCCAATCAATGATTGCTATGGTTTTTTAAACGTACGTCTTAGCAATATTTTTCTTTAATTTTGACAATGTCAGTCAATGAAATTTAATGTCAAAATGTCATGTCAAAAATCCTGACCAATATACAAACAATAATGCGTACGTTTTCGTAACCAAAGCAATCTTTGATTGTTTTTTTTTTTGAAGACCCGATATGTATAGTTCGTTGCACGACACGCGGGTTTTTACTTACCTACGTCATCGATGACGTCATAACAATTTAAAGAAAACATTAAGTCATAGATTATTTCAAAGAGCACCTTCGGAGTTATTGTTTTGTAATAAATTTTTTCTACGAGCGCGCGGAAAAGTGTACTTTTCCGCACGCATTTTAGGTCATTTAAGTATCACTTTTCCGCCTAGTGCTTTTCCGTTTTTTTCCGCACCGAGTGCGGAAAAATGATCACTTTTCCGCACTCCGTGCCGAAAAGTAGAATACCTGAAATTTTTAGGTATACAGGTACAGGGTGGTCCAAATTCGAGCCTCATCATTGGGATCTCGGAAACCGTGAGAGATACAGGGTCGGTTAAGCTATGGCAAAGTTGCGCATTTTAATGCTCAACAAAATGCCGCTTTGATATTTAGGATATTTCGAATACTTCCGGAGATATCCAGAAAAAACCGGAATTTTGCAAAATGTTTATTTTTTCCTGACTTTATTTGAAGTGATACTTCAAAAAAAATATTACTTCATCTTAGCCACTTTTTCTCCCCTACAAGATGCTATCATCAAATTTAAAATATGATGTTTCGTCTTTGGACCACCATCATCAACTTTACTTTTCTAAATACGGACCCTCGTTTTTTTATTTCAGATTTCAAGAGCTTCTGATATCCCAAAACCTATGACGAATCGCATTTATTCGAAAAATTTATATTATTGGCACTTTCCATAAAAAACTAAATGTGTTAGAGAGAGACAGAGAAAAGAATTTTGGTAGGAAATTACTAAGAAGTAAAAAAAAAATATTTTTTTCTACTACCGTGCGTAAAGTACTCACTTTACGCGCTATTCAGAAGACGTAAAATTTCACTTCACGCACTAGTGCGTAAAGTAATGTCAATGACAGATGTCGACACTGTCAATTTGGCATTTTTCTGGTAAATCACTTCACGCACTAGTTCGTAAAATGAAAATTCTTTACGCACTAGCGCGTGAAATATTTGACTAAATTTATTTTCGTACACATATTTGATTGGTAGTAGAAAAAATTTTGTATGCAATACTTGCGTAAAGCACCTTTTTTCACTCATGTGATTGTCGCACTCGCCTTCGGCTTGTGCGTCAAAATTCACATTCGTGAAAAAAGGTTCACTTTACACACTTGTTGCATAAATAACTATTTTCGGATAAATGCGATACGTCATAGGTTTTGGAACATCAGAAGCTCTCAAAATCAGAAATAAAAAATCCAGGGTTGTATTTAAAAAAAATAAGTTGATGATGTGGCCAAAAGACGAAACGTCAGATTTTAAATTTGATGGTAGCATCTTGTAGGGGAGAAAAAGTGGCTATGATGAAGTGATATTTTTTTCGAAATATCACTTCAAATAAAGTCAGGAAAAAATAAAAACAATTTTGCAAAATTTCGAAATTTTTCTGGATATCTCCGGAAGTATTCGGAATATCCTGAATATCAAAGCGGCATTTTGTTGAGCATCAAAATGCGCAACTTTGCCATAATTTAACCGACCCTGTATCTCTTACGGTTTCCAAAATCCCAATGATGAGGCTCGAATTTGGGCCACCCTGTACTTACAGATTAACAGGATATACTACCAGGTACAGGTACAAAAAAGTGAAAAAAAATATCTTAAATTGATAAATATGTAGATGAAAATATTACCTTTCATCTCGTAGAAAAAATAGTGTTCCTAACTCGTGCGGAAAGTAGCTTTTCCGCACTTGATTGCTTGCCGAATTTCGCTGCGCGTCAGTCGATAAACTGCAATCGCGTGCGGAAAAGTGGTACTTTCCGCACTAGTTAGGAAATATACTATTTTAACTTAGAATAGAGTTTATTCAGTTATCCGAAAATATACATGTATAAATACATTTCTCCTGGAGTGATTTTTCACTGGAAAATTTTGAAATTTTCTTCTAATGAGCTCCTCACTTTCCTCTTTCTCCTGTAAAAATTTCAAAATTTTCCCGTTGCCAGTTTTCCAGAAAAAAATTAAAATGTAAGAGGGTGAATTTTCTTCAATTTTGCCTTAATAAGTCAATTTTCTTTGAGTTTTTCCTGGAATGATTTTTTACTAGAAAATTTCGAAATTTCCCTGTAATAAGCTCCTCACTTTTCTCTTTTTCCTGGAAAATTTTCAAAATTTTCCCTTTGCCAGTTTTCAAGAAAAAAATTAAAATGTAAGAGGGTAAATTTTCCTTAACTTTGCTTAAATAAGTCAATTTTCCAGAATTTTTCCTCGAGTGACTTTTCATTAGAAAATTTTAAAAATTTACTTTAATGAACTCGCTTTCCTCTTTTTTCTGGAAAATTTTCACAATTTTCCTTTTGCCAGTTTTCTCGAAAAAAACTAAAAAGAAAGAAAATGAATTTTACTTAAAAAAGTCAATTTTCCAGTATTTTTCCTGAAATGATTTTCCACTGGAAAATTTTGAAATTTTCCTATAATAAGCTCCTCATTTTCGTCTTTCTCCTGCAAAAATATCACAGTTTTCACTCTGCCAATTTTCCAGAAAATAATTGTAATATAAAAGAATGAATTTCGCTTAAAAAAGTCAGTTTTCCTAAATTTGTCCTGGAGTGTTTTTTCACAGGAAAATTTTGAAATTTTGCTATAATAAGATCCTCACTTTCCTCTTTTTTCTGAAAAAAATTCACAATTTTCCTTTTGCCAGTTTTCTAGGAAATAAATGTAATTTAAGAAAATGAATTCTGCTTAAAAAAGTCAATTTTCCAGAATTTTTCCTGGGATGATTTTCCATTGGAAAAATTTGAAATTTTCCTATAATAAGCTCCTCACTTTCGTCTTTCACCTGAAAAAATTGCACAATTTTTACTTAGTCAGTTTTCCAGAAAAAAATTGAAAAACTTTGATATTTCTGTGAGAAACTTGAGTTCGAACTGCTATTATCGTCTAGCAATTTTTCAGCGATATTTTCAAGACAAAACCTTCCATTTTTTTCCCGCATATCGTGTTTTTTCACATCAGCGCGGTCACCGTTTTAAAGTTATTATTATACATATTTATATGGACATATAGCAACGCCGAGTAGCCATCAACTGGAACCACGTTGATTACGGCGAGCCTACCACTCCGATGGAGCCCGGCTCGAAAAGTCTGGCTCCATTTGGGGGTCAAAAAATATACATGGAATAGGTTTTCTATAAGTGTTAACTATAATATTCTTTGACTACGTGCACTCGTGCTCTTTTTCAACTAAAAATGCATTCGGGCAAATTTCCCAAAAATTATCAATAATTTCCATTGCACTAGTTATATTACTATTGAAAAGATCTGGAATCTTGAAGTTGTCTTTTCCTATATTCATACTTATGCACATTAGGTATGTTGTGGCAAATTAAATTCACATTTGATTCAGGTACCTACCTATTGAAATTTAAAATCGTTTTAGCTATTGTAGTGTAGGTAGGTACTGAATATCATGATTGCTATTACAAGTAGGTAGGAAGGTAGGTGTGTGAAACTTACACATACCTGGACCCATTGGAGGTCTTCCCATGCCCATATTGCAAACCATGCCCATTGGTCCTCCCATAGGTCCCATTGGAGGGCCTCTACCCATGCCCATTGTATTTACAGAGCTGGGACAATCGTCAAAAGGGTTCGAAGCTACAATAGTATCCCCATATCCACTAGGAGTTGGAGGCAATAGATCCTGTACACTGGGTTGGGTCTGAAGAGGTGGTGCTTGATTATTTTTCCTTCTCTTCTTGGGCCCAGCTGGAGGCCCAATAATATCGGGTCCTAGGTTAGGAACATTCAACCTGAAGGGGGACATGTTAGCCATTCTAACTTATTCAAAACAATCACTTAAATGAGGGTTCAATAAGAACTAAACTGCCTTCACTGTTTTTTTTGTAGTTGAATATAGGGGCTTTACTGCGAGTTGACCAACATTTAGTATCTTTTTTACTTAGGATATCTGCTGGTTCTACTACGACACGTTTTAACTCAGCTTCATCAATGTCTTCAACCTTTTTCAATATTTTTTTCCTAACTAACTGGGCACTTTCTAAACTTCTATTATTCACACTGGAACTTTTGTCAATTCTGAGGAACTTTTCGGAGTTACTTAACAATTTAATACCACCAGATTTACGAGCTTTTTTCTTGAGGCAAGTGTCTTTAACACTTTTCAACACTTTTTGTAATTCCTCTTCTAAAGTCTTTGATAAATGTTTTGCAACATAATTTTGGAATTCTGGAGTAACTCTAAACAAATTGAATTGTTCATCGTCATCTTGCTGCTTCCTCAATGATGGCCGGGCATTAGTTTTGCTGGTTCCCGTAGGTTCTGTTAGATGATGATCCAAATCTAAAATAATTAAAAAAGAAATCAGACAAAAAGCTTATGAAGGGGGCTACAAACAATAACATACTTCCTTTTTTCTTATACAGAGAATCATTAAAGAACTGTGGGTCAACGGCTTCTTTAAGATTATCTAAATTTTCATCATCAGAACTAGCTGAGCTCATTTTTTATGTGAAATCGCTAAATGTTTTGCAATAATTCTAGCCATGGTAATTTTATTTTACAGAACCATCCACCATTTTAATTTTAACTTATAAACATCTTCTTTTTTTTTCAAACAATCAATTAAGACTTTTGACAAAAATGACAATGGGTGTGTTCCGTTTGTCATTTTGATTAACCAGTCAGTCGATTGCTCATCCTAGGCTGAGTTCGGGTTTGCACTCCACTCCACGGAGCGGAACAGTATGACCGTAGATACGTGATGTCACACGCAGAGTGCGCCCTAAGGTCATACCCGAACGCAGATTGAAAAAAAAAATCCTGAAGCGGTTGTCACAATAGACAATAATCTCAAAAAGAAATTGTTTTGTTTTGATTTTAATTTTATTTTACTAGTAAACGAGTAGGTAAATTAGTGATGGACCTGAAATGAAAGAGTAGAAGAGAAATCTGGGGAAAAAAAACCGGAAACACAAAGCGAATTATCTTTTTTGACAATCCTTGCGTTCAAAGAGCAGAGCGTGCTGAGCGGAGCCGTAATCACGTGACCAGGGAGCGAACAGAGCATTTGAACGCTGTATCAAAGTTCCCGAAATTTTATTAAACGAACGCGAATGAGCCTGCACATCGGACTCACGGAATATTTAGGTTAAAAATATAATTTTTCAAAAGTGACAATCGATAACTAATTTCTCTCGATCTCCATTCACCCAACACCCATCCAGCGAAAAGAGAGTGAGCTCGGGTACGTGCTCGATTATAACCCGAAGTCTAAAGAGAACACCGAGAACACGATCTCATCTTTTCGTGTGCGCTCGGCGTTTACCGAGTGTAAAGCCGAACTCGCCCTAAAAAGGAGATGGCTCCATTTGTGCTACTGTGCATTTGTGCTAATCCGCAAATGATCTACTCACGAACTCGATCGGCTATGGTCGGGATCAGTTAACATGATCGCGGAGGAGTAACAAAGAGTAGTTGAAGGGTTTGTGTACGCGACGGGCGCGCGGAACATGTAATCAGCTGATGCTGATAAATAATAAAAATAAATTAAATGTTTTTGTATTTATTTAATGAATGGTTGTGGACTTTATTTTTATTAACTACAGTAGAGCCAAGATTTTAGAAATATATACTTATTATTAAAGCGTAGAGTCTATACAGACATGTAAAATTATTTATAAATGTAAAGTTAATAATACATATACTTATCCAAAGTAGGTATCTCCCCAGATTTGAAATTGTATGAGGTTATTTATTGATTTTCCAGAATATTAGGTCAATAAACCTAGCAGTCCCATTGTAGAAAAAAACGAAGGGATTGCTAGGTTTACATGAAATACCTATAGCAGTCCCCTGTAGTGAAAATATTTTTTAAAATTTTTCTTTGGTATCAGAATTTACATAATAGGTACCTATACTTTTTAAAATGCTCCTAAATAGTCAAAGAAAAAATTGAATCGGTTAATTATTAACTGAATTACAGATTTTTTTTCAATATTATGAAATTCCTGGATTCACGTTTACTTATGGTGGTGTGTTAAAGGCTGAAATGTTCCTGGATAGAAATTAGGTACTATTTAAGTGCTCCCAAATTGTCAACGAAACACTTGAATCTGTTAATTATTAAATGATTTATAGTTTTTTTTTCATTATTGGCAAATTATTGGCTTCACGTTTAGTTGGTGCTGTATCAGAAGCTAAAATGTTTATGGATAGGAATTAGTGCTATTTAAGTGCTTATATTTGAAGAAAAACTTGAATCAGTTAATTATTAACTGAAGTAGGTACAGATTTTTGTTTTTCATTATTAAGGAATTGCTGGCTTTAAATTTACTTGAGGATGTCTTGCATTGCAGCGAATCTGATAACTGTGACTAAAATGCTGTTGTATTGGAATTTGGTGCTATTTAAGTGCTCCTAAAAAGTTGCAGTTTTTCTTCGACTATTCAGGAGCACTTAGATAACACCTAATTTCAATACAACATTAACGATTATAGCCACTGCTATCAGATTCACTGCAAATCTCTACACCCCTAAGTAAACGTAAGGCCAGTAGTTCAGTTCCCTAATAATGCAAAAAAAAAAATCTGTAATTTAAATAATAAATAATTCAAGTTTTTCTTCGACTATTTAGGGCGGGTATTATAAAACTACTTTGAAAGTTAACTTAAAGTTAACTTCTAGAATTACATGTAATTCAAAAAGTTAACTTCAAGTTAACTGTCAAAGCAGTTTTATAATACCCACCCTTAGGAGCACCCAAGTCCTATCCAGAAACATTTTAGTTTCTGACCATCAAGTATAGGTAAACGTGAAGCCAACAATTTCCATTTTCCATTTCCTAATAATGAGAAAAAATCTCTATTTAGTTTAATGATTAACTGATTTTTTTGACCATTTGGAAACACTTGAATAGCAAGAATCCCAATAAGATTGCTTATCCTCATAAGGCGTACGTTCGCCAATTCTCGAGTCGGCAAGGCCTGCGACTGACGTCGGTACTATTAAAAGCCTCTTATAGTGGTGACGTCACCCGCAGGCCTCGATGGGATGCTTGCGATTCAGGTTGTGCTTGTTTTTTCATGGATTTTAAATGTAGAAAAGGTGATTTTAACAAGTATATCACGTTTAGCAATTCGTTTTTTTAACCTATACTGTTTTAAACTCGGCTTATACATTTTTATGTCAAGAGTTGAGGCCTGCGGCTAAAATGGCACACACTTTCAGCTCAATAAGCAATAAGTGTTCTTGCTCGAATAGCATCCAAATCCAATTCAACATTCTAGCCACTGTCATCAGATTCGCTGCAAATTCCCCACCTAAGTACACGTAAAACCAGTAATCCCCTAGTACCTATTCCTATTCCTGGTTATAAAAAAAATCTGACTGACTGTTTTTTTTTGACTATTTAGGAGCACTTGGATAGCTAATTTGCCAATTCCTATATTTCCTATCCAGAAGCTAGCTTCTGCACATGCACTGGCTTTACACTCGGCAAACTTCGAGCAGTTCAAGCGCGCTCGAAACGATAAGATCCTGTTTGTTTTAGCTCTCAGAGTGTTCTCTTTTGCGTTTTGGTTACAATCAAGCACGTACTCTGACCCTGAGCTTGCTCTCTTTTGGATGGATGGATGGATGGATGGATGGAGGAGCACCAGAGAAATTAGTTATCGCGGATTTTTTCCTAGATTTCTACTTTTATTTCAGGTCCATTACTAATTCACCTACTCGTTTACTACGGTTTACTAGTAAAATAAAATTAAAATCAAAACGAAACATTTTTTTTTGAGTTTAGTGACTGTGCAAGGGTTTGAGGATTTGTTTCGATCTGTGTTTGGCTTAAAGTCTGTCTTTTTTAAAGATAATTCCCCAAGTCAAAAATTTAGTAACTATGTTGAAGCCTTTTCTACACATAAAAAATTTGAAAACATTGACAATTTTTCATTGTATTGCCAACATAATGGCATTTTGACTTTTATCTTTAAAAAAAACACAGACTTCAGGGCGCACTCTGCGTATGACGTCACCGTCACGATATCCCTGTTCATACCGTTTCGCTCCGTGGAGTGCAAAGCCGAACTCGGCCTTAAAAGCAAAATAGTCTGTCTCTACAAGGATAGTAGACAAGGTTGCCACGTAACTTTAAACCAATAGGCTCGTACAGCATATTTTTTTTATTACATATTCTAAAAGAGCGTAGGTATTGAGTTTAGCAGTTGTGCAAAATTTCATAATTTTCCGAGCCCTTGTTCATATTTAAATAAATTATCAAAACGCTCCAGATTTGGAAGTTTTGAAACACGCGGTGACGTCACTGCATCTCTCACGTTGGTCGTGTGACGGCCTTTAGCCCATCTTGACTCGAGAGATGACGTCATACCATCTCTAAGCGATAAATTTCTGAGGCCTAATGTTTTATTATTCAAAGCCGCATAACTTTTTTAATATTTATCCAATTGCGCTGATTTTTTTTGTGTGTGCTATATGTGAGTAATACTCCATAAAAATATCAAAAAACGTGGTTAATGAAACCTCACTCAACGAGCCTATTTAGCAGGTCTACATACATCACCCATAAAAATATGCGCACACTAAACACTCCTAGAATTGCAAAACTAAACTATGCAGTATGTTAGTGTTTACATTAAAAATAGTTTGAAATAGCTACATAATAACATGAGCTGGGTTCGGCTATTCAGCGCGGAGTTGGAGTGGAGTGAACAGAGCTAATGGAGTCACCCCTAAGAGCCGTTTTACACGGCAAAGTTTCTTCACGAAATTGCTTACGAAATTGTTGCCGAAATATTTCGTAAGTCAACTTTTCCTGTTTTACACGACAAGAAAAACTTACGAAATATTTCACGAATAAACTTTCGATATATAGTTTTTGTGGGCGTGGCCGAAAATATGCGTGAGTTTCGGCGCACAGTAAAGGCAGATTCTTTTTCATGGAGCCTATGAATGCGTCATTGAATTTCCTATGTAATAGATAAGGATAAACTTCTCATCTGTGAAAAAACTAATGCACCCAAAAACAGCTGGGCAAATAAATAAAAAAAACAAACTTTATTTATGGAAGGAAAAAATAAATTCAACTTTATAAAACTGCAGGAGGGTACAAAGATTCAACAACAATTAGAAAACGGAAGTTTTATTTGTTTTGATTTATCAAAGTATGAGGTTATGATTTGATATTATTGATGGCAAAACGTAACTGCGCCTGCGTATGACTAATATTTTCACGAAACTTTTGCTAGACTTTTATTTGCCGTGTCAAACAGGAAAAAGCGAAACCAAGAATAGTAAACTTACGAAATATTTCGGCAATAATTTCGTAAGTAATTTCGTGAAGAAACTTTGCCGTGTAAAACGGCTCTAATACGGTAAAAAGCAATACCCGAACGGCTGGAGTAAGAATGGAGTCAACCGGAGTGCACGGAGTTAGCGAGCCGAACCCACCTATGAATGATCACAAAACAAATCAGCCCCGGATTCTATTTTA